AAGATCATTTAGTAATTATTAATAATTATTGGTATCTATCCATAACTGTTATTAGCCGTATATTTATATGGGATCTGGTATATTTTTTTATTAATTAATAAAGAGAGAGTTTTCTCAATACCATTTGAAGATAGGCTCTAATGATTGTTTAGAGCCTAGGCTCTATACAAACCTAACCCAAAATTAAATTGCTTGAAACATGGAATCATGCATTTGCCAAAGCTAAACTATTTGGGCCACCCAATGACCTTGAAATCATTCAGAAATGCTTATATTTTATGCTCAAATCATAATCTTGGCCATTTGGATCAATTTGGAGTAAGAAAGAACTGGTTTAGATCCATAACAGGGCTTCAGCCGTAGTTAACAATTTCTTGGTCATAGTAGTCTTTAATCCTTTAGAAAATGAGGTATTTCTACTTCAAGATTTGGTTTTGACTCATTAATCAATATGCGCTGCTTTGAAGGTTGTTGGCCCAGTTTCTGATGAATTAGGGCCATCCCATCTTTTGACCACAGTTAAGCCTATTTGAGCTCTTTTTAAGTTTCTTTTGAACTCCAAGTGATTAAAACCCACCCAAATAAATCATGGATTTACAGTTAACCACAAATCAAAACACACAGTGACAGATTTTACCCTCTTAAAAAGCTTCAAAAAGTTTTGAAAATAATCCAAAATTTGGGTGTTTAGAGAACTGAAAGCCATAAATGATCTGTTGTTAAAAGAGTTAAGCTGGTGGATGGTTAAAGGACAAACACATATGCAAAATATGAGAGAGAATGTACAATCAAAAGCCATAAACAATAGTGGTTTTAATCCCTGTAAATGAGTTTGGGCATAAAAGTTCGAACATAACAATTTGAAAATAATCCCAAAATCAATCACAAACACAGAGTATGCTTCTTGTTAAACATGTGTGTTGATAAGACACACAAAATGATAGCCTTCACGACTAGCTCTCAAATTCCGAAAGCACTAAGTTAGTTTCAGACACCATTTAGGACTATATATTTTGTGTCATCATCACGCAATAAAGACGGCTGACTTTACAAAAAAAAATAAAATAAAAAATGATGGTTGATTTTGCTTGATCTAACAGCAGGATTTAGATATTTTCTCCCTTCTTCCAAAGTAGGAGAGTCCTCCTTTTGATACTAGACCTTCATTTTATGTCTCTATTAAATTAGGGAACCCTCCGTATGTTTAGTTGTTTTAAGTTTTTATTTTTAACTAAAAAGAAGTCATATATTTTTTGTCTTTTAATTATAAATATTTATTGTTTATCATTTTTGCGAATTCATAATCAAGAGTAAAAAATCAGTTAGCTTTATATAATGGGTGCAGTTGGCATACAGATGCATCCGTAGCTGTAGAGGTAAGGTGCACCTTCAAATGTTATCATGCTATATAATTTTGATGTAAAATGTTCTTAAGATTATCTCAAAATCTATTTTTATATTTAATTATAAAATTTAAATTTAAAAAATGGTTAAAATCATGGTTAAAATCAAGTAGATCTATAAACATATGAAAATCTTGAAAATGGAAGGTGTAGATAATATGTTGTAAAATGCACTATTTCTGAGACTTAAAATCCTTTTATTTTTCATAGTCATACATCTCGATGTCGAGATGATCAATCAAAGGGTTTTTCAACATTAAAACCACTTTATCTGATGGATTTTTGAGGTGCATCCGTAGTAATACATTATAAGATTGTATCCTTATATAAACTTTTTCCTTATATAATAGATCCCTAATTAATTAAATTACAAAATTTACTTATTATTTTCTCATCAAGAAAGGAGTATGGCACTTCCCTTGTTTTATACTTTAGTAATATGCACCTATCTCAACAGGCAACGATACCCCGCACTCTATATGGAGCTCTGACAATGCTGGCACCATTAGTCACTCAGACACACGACACGTGACGATACATTTCGGGTGATGTAAGGGTTTTTGAATAGGGCAAGTTTTTTATGTTTTTCCTAGAGCATAGAAGTTCTATTTTCTCTTTTATCCAACTGTCCATTTCGAATGGAGGGCTAAGATTGCCCCAATGACAATCTCACGTTTCTATACTATTTTATTTTTATTTTTTTTCTATAAAATATTTTGACACCAAATTCTAGATGTCCATTTCTCTATTAAGCTCACACTAGCAAAAAATATAACAAAAATATTTTCAATATAATAAAATGACCAAACTACCCTTTAAAATTTTAAGGGATATTTTGGTCATTATATTTAATCAATAATTTATTTTTAATATTTTTTATAGGTGCGTCCCAATGAAACAATGACACGTACCAAATTTCATATTCATACAATTTGTATAAAAAAAAACTAAAAATAAAATACTTTAAGACATCGGATCTAGGATCAAATGGTGAGTGGCTCTCTTGATCAAAATTGAACGGTTGGATTGTAGGGGGAGAATAAAACTTCTATCATGTAGGAGAAGCATAGAAACCTTTCCCTTCTGAATATTGTGTCAAAATATGGACTTTTTATTAAGGTAGTAGTATGAACCTACATGACATGGAGGTTACAAGTTTGAACTTTACGAAAGATTTTTAGCAAGTTTTTTGACATTCGGTCTCAAGAATAAATGAAATCCTCTTCTCGCTTAATATATAAAAAAATAGATTATATATTTCATTACTTAAACGTTAAAATAATATATTTTATTTAAAAATATATGATCTAGAAAATAATTATAATTCAGTAATTTATGCCATTGCACAGGCTGTTCATATTTGGAAGTATAGTTTGTTACATGAACTAGTTCATAGTTTGGACAGAATATAATTCACTAGTTTATGCAGAAACTTTAATCTAGGGTGACTGATCAAATTGCATATGAGTAAACATTTCAATCATTCAATAACTTTCAGCAATTTATAACTCTTTGAAATTTGACCAACAAAGAAAATTGATATCTAAAATTAGATAAAAATGGCTAATTAAATGGCAAATAGTTCAACTCCTAATGAAATTTTATGGTGTTATGAATGATATTACTCCTAATTTTAATGGGGAAAATATCATTCGAGGGGTCAAAAAACTTTTTACAAAATCATAAAAAGAGTCAAAGACTCAATTAATATTAAATATATTTTTTATTTTTTATTTACATAGGTAAGTTTTTGAAGGAAAAAAAACCTTAATTGCCCTTAATCAATGTGAGAACCTAATCAAGCAAAGACATTTTAATAATTTGACTGAGATTGAATAACTAGAGCACTCCCATCATTTGATTGGGGCTTATTAGGTGAAACACCCTCGTTATTCAATTTCCCAACCCCTAACCAGGGCAATTTGGGTGTTTTTAATATATTTTTTAAGAGGTTATATGAGGTAAACAAAATTTGAAAAGTAAACACTATAATATTAAGGACAATTTCTGGCGAAGCCCCCATATGTAGAAATGCGGGCCTCTTAATAAATTTATTTTTTAGATAGATTGTTTGACTTAATTTTTAAAGACATGTAATATCTAACCTGGAGATCATGAATATGAAAAAATAAATAATTTTGTTAAACTATAAAGAAATAAGTCTAGTAAGAAAACATTTGGACAGTTAGTTTCTATTATTTTTATACAGAGCACCTCATCCATCTTTAAGATGGATGCTTTGCACCATTTGGACTGCATATGTAGTCATGTGGTCCGTCCCACATGAAGCAATTTTCATAATGTTAATCAAAGACCCTCTATGAAGGGGTTTTAACTATAATATTTTTTAGGGGAAAATGGCCTCTAATTTCACCCTGAAATTTCCATTCCTATTAGCCCATTACGTTAACCAAAATCCCTTGCACCCTCACAAGTTTAAAACTTTGGGATCATTAGCCCCTTAATTATGTTTTTATTTGATCTTTTTACAAATTTGATCTTTTTGTTTTACAAGATGGAAAACCATACATTAATCATCCATACTTTTTTTTTTTTTTTTGTGACGATATACAAATTTTATTGATGATGATAATGATAAGTATTAAGTATTATAATTAATTAATAATTATAATAATAACAACAATAATATATTAATTCTTATATATTTAATTTCTTATAGGTATTTTAATAAATAATTTAATAAATAAATAAATAAATAATAATCTATTAATAATAGTACCTAATATATTGATTAATCATTTTTCAAGTTCAAAAGGTATTCATTTAATTGTAAACTAGGTTATAATATTAAAGAAAAAATCATTTTCTTTTCACGTCTAAATTTATATAGTGCGATCCACGGAGGTAAGATTGATTTTAGACAACAAAAGAGACAGAGAAAGGAGCATTTTGTAAAATAAAAATATCAAATTTATAAAAAAAACAAAAAATTAGATTGAGAGGTGAACGGCCCCAAAATTTTAAATTTGAAGTGGTACAAGCTATTTTGGTGAGCCAAATGACTAATAGGGATGGAAGTTTTGGGTCGGGTAAAAGTCATTTTCCCTATTTTTTATTTCTAAAAGTGTTTGATGAGTTTGGGTTCAGTGTGTTCGATCGACCATAAAACACCCGTATTTAAGATGGGAGGCCGCAATTAAGGCCCAACTAAAATTTAAAATTGACAGCAAAATGTTTTTTAAAAAAATATCATTTTTTTGAATTTTAAATTTATTTATTTTTCACATAATGGATATAAATAGGTGAGTCAACCAGTCGCCTCACTTGGGGGAAATAGATACTCAGGATTTTTTATTATTTTCAAGAAAAAAAATTAAAATTTGAGTTCCTAAATATCCAAATCTTCCCATTGAAAATTAGAGAGTTAAAGTACAAAAAATCAAATTATTAGGACATGTGAATCAATGCGTTTTTTCTTTGGGGTTGGTCTTTGGGCCCGAGAGATTAAATTGAGTCTATTATAATGGATTTATCCCTTCATAAGCAAATGGACGGTATACTCCCGCGGGAGCATAAAGTCGTTTCACATATTTTTATTTCAAATCTTGGAAGATAACGTCGGGTGAAATCCCATTCTGAAACCCTAGAAAAGGCGAGAGAGAGAGCAAATGAAGGCCGCGAAACCCTAAGGGCGAGACGAAGGTTTCGGTGCTAGAGAGAGAGAGAGCTAGCAATGGCGAAGTCATTGAGGTCGAAGAAGAAGAAGCGTTTGAGAACACTGAGGAGAGAGATAGCTCAGCCATTCTATGACAAGAAGGACGAAGCAAAGATTGCGGCTCTGGAAGCAGCCCTTGCCGCCCCTAAGCTCGAAGTTCGCAACCCACCACCTTCTTCCTCTTCTATGGGTATAATACATTCGCTCTCTAACATTTTATACCGCTTTTTCCACCCAATTGTTTTAGGAACATCGATCAAGTTCTTTAGACAAATTAGTGATTTCCAAAGTAAAAGCAGGAGAATATACCTGAAACCCTAGTCATAGAACATTTAGCAAAGGTAAATCTTGCCATAGTTTAGTGGTTTTATTGAAGCATATTATGGTCCGTGTTGTTTAGAAATCATTCTTATTGAATTTTTCTTCCATTTTTACAGAAATAAAAATTGGGCAATGTTCTTCTTTCTAGATTATTTCTTTCTCTTTTTTTATTGTTGCTAATTGTTTCTTTCTCGGTTTCTTGTTGGGTTGTGATATGTTCTAGAGTTTAGATTTTAGAATGTTAGATTCTTAGTTTGGGAATGTATTACAGCTTCACGTATTTGGGTGCGAGAGTGGTGGTCGATCTGATTATTATTGGAGATTGGGTCATCGTGGTTACAAAATGCATTTTCTTTTATAATGTCTAATTTTCAGGAGAAGAGTTATAATGAGAATGGTATTCTTTTCTGAAGTGTCCATGTGTTGCTCAATACAGTCAGACAGTGTTTCAAAAATCGAAATCAGTCTTTGAATTGCCAGGTTTCCATTCCAACTCTACCAGTCTAGTCCGACTTGAGCTGTTCCCAAGTTGGATTGGGTTGTATATAACCGAGAAATGAAAACTAAAAGCCGAAAACCAGAGAATTGGGGCGATTCTGGGGTTCTTGGAACTGGAATCTCCTAGCGAAAGATCCTGGTTCCACTCAGTTGATTCCGAGTCGGATCAGCAATTTTCAAACACTGTAATTGCATTAAAGTTGTCATAAATTCTGAACAAAGAACTTTTTTCTTGTTTTTCTCAATTAGTGATATGCTTTCTAAGAGGTACAAGCCTTAAATTCTCAACCCCCATCACATCAACTGGGTGATTCTAGCAACATGACCATGGGCGAATTTATATTGGGCCTTTGATCCATGGACTTCAGACCTAAAAATTGTGCATCATTAAAAATAAATTTGCTAGTTTACTAATTGCATGCCTTGGGTATATAGGAAGAAATTTTATGACACCCTAAGTCTACATTTTCTTTAGTTTTTGGATTTGATTTACTCTGAGTTTGTGTTTTTTATTTTTTTGAGAAATTTAAGTTTGTTTTTTTAATTTGTTTGAATTTAATTGCCTGTTTAAAACATTTGGCTATAATCTACCAATTGGCCAATTTTGTTAATTAGGTAAGAGACGAGGCTCTAGACAATCAAAGTAAAGCGTGCCGTCAAATAGTGTTAAGAAATCTGGTTTCAATACTGAAAATCTTTGTGATATCGTTAAAATATATTTTCATCTTTAATTATAAAATTTCTAGCTTCAAAAATAGTGTAGATCAAGCAAATCTACAAAAACTTGAAAATCTTGAAAATTGACGGTCCAAAAACGTATTACGAGAGCACTATTTCCAAAACTTGAAATCCATTTTTTTTCATGTCCATGCATTTTGATGTCAAGATGATAAATTTGAGGATATTTGGGCATGAAAACAATCTCTTTTAGTGAAATTTTTGAGGTGGGCTCTAATTCGATTGTTTAGAGCCTCGGCTCTATATAAACTTTTTCCTTCTTTTATTATTCACAAACTAAGAATCCTGGGGGAATATGACATGTTTCTTTGGGATTTTCTACCACCATAAGCCTACTTAAGTAAAGGTTATTAGTTACCTAAAAGTAAAACATCTATTATGTTGTAGTGATCTGCTTATCATTATTAATTTTTATCATGTCTTCTGTGTTCCACAGAGGTTGATACCTCAAATGGTGGAGCCAACGACAATCCCAATTCAAATTCGATGTTGAAACCCGGGGGAGGCATTCAAAAGACATCGAAAAAGGGTTGGAAATTGAGGAAGGAAAAGAGGCGTAAAAAGCACAAGAAGCAGAACTTTTGATTGTCTATAGAAAGGTGTTCCTACCAGTAGGAACTTGTTCCAGAGTTTACTAGTGTTAGAACCATGAAAAGAATAGGAAATTGGATTAGTTTTTCCAATTCTGTCCGTTAAATTTTGTTATCATATTCGGAACTTTGTTTTTGGTCGAATGACCCAGCTGATGAGCAGTTTATGTGGCAATAGGAAATTTATTTTAATTTGAGCTGAAGTTTGATTGCTTTCTTGTTAAATGGAATCAAATTCAAAGTTCAAAAGGCATGCATGGGCAACGGTTGAAGGTGTCCTACGTTATGTACCCTTTATCCTCGCTCTCTCCCCCCCTACATTGCGCTCTTGAGATCCTCTTTGAATGGAGCTGAGGCTCTAAACAATTAAAGTGAAGTGCACCTTCAAATAGTGTGGTTTCAATATGGAAATTTTTGCAATAGCCCTAAATTATATTTTCATTGTTAAATATAAAAATTAAAGCTTAAAAAATATTGTACACCGAGCATATCTATGAAACTTGCAAATCTTGAAAATTTACATACTAAAAATGCATTGTAAGATGCACTCTTTTTCAAACTTGAAATAGATTTTTTTTCATGTCCATTCATTTTGATGTAGAGATGATCAATTTGAGGATATCTTAACATAAAAAATGATCAATTTGGGGATATCTTAACATGAAAAAATGATCAATTTGAGGATATCTAGACATCAAAACAAGCTCTTCTAGTGAAATTTTTAGGGTGGGTTTTAATTTGATTGTTTAGAGCCTCAGACTCAATATATTTTTTTTCCATTTATATGTAAAAATATATTAAAATAAATTTTAAAAATAAAAAATTCAATTAATAATAATAATGATAATAAAATAATTACGTGCTTCAACCAAAGGGGCCCAATCAAACTAAACCAGGTAGAAGCAAAAAATTGTATTTTTAAAGTTGAAAATCTTTGCCCTATGCTTGATTCAATTAAGGCCAGCAGTTGGCCCCCAAATGATTTAGACATGGGTGCGGTTTGCATAGAGTTGGGGCTCTAAACAATCAAAGTAATGCATACCTTCAAATAGTGTTGAGAAATGTGGTTTCTAACACTTCAAATCTTTGTGATAGCCTTAAAATATGTTTTCATCTTTAATTATAATATTTGAAGCTTCCAAAATAGTGTAGATCAAGCAAGTCCAAGGAAATTTGAAAATCTAGATAATTGATTATCCAAAAAATACAAGATGCACTATTTCCAAAACTTGAAATCTATTTTATTCTTATGTCCATGCATCTTGATGTCGAGATGATCAATTTGAAGATATTCACGGCATCAAAACAACTTTTTTTAATGAAATTTTTGATGTGGGCTCTAATTTGATTGTTTAGAGCTTTAACTATATATGAACTTTTTCCTTCTAGACATTCGGAAGGCCTCTTACCAAATTCCAAACATGCTCATATTTTCTTTTGGTTCACTTCATAGTACAAGATTGAATCTTCAAAATCCCTAAAATTGCCCATATTTCTTGTTCATCACAAAATACAGCAACTTCTAAAGAAATGCTCACATCTCATGTTTGTTCATTGCATGATACAATAAGAAACAACTTCTTGTCCAAATATAACACAAATCAACTAGTGTCTAAATATGACAACACACTTTAGACCTGCATTGATATGCGGATTGAACATGGCCGGTAAAGTGTCAAAACTACATTTATGTGAACCTTTAACTTGTGTGAGATTAACAATATCCAGCTTTGGTTGCCAGCACCGCTGAATAATTAAATGACAGAGAATGGGGTTTCTCCACAGGCAAATGCATGGAGGGGACAGCAGGAAAACTTCAGTTTCCAGTAACCTGTACAATTTGCAGGATCATGTAGCATAAGAATAGATCTCCTATCAGTCAGTCAATAAGAGAGATGTCACAACATAGAATTGAGAAAAAAGAATTACCATTTGTGTCAGAGAACAAGAATTTGGTAAGAGGGAGAGATTGCACTCCTGGACCTCTAGGCGTATTCCCCCAAGCACTTTTTAAACTATGCTACGAGTCTCAATACTATTTATTTTTGTATTTATTTGATAAGTAATCAAATAAATTTTTAAGACAAAAATACCCTCATTTACGAACTTAAAAAAATTTGATCTCTCTAAAAAGTTTTGAAATAGTTTCTCCCTTAAAGTTGAATTTGATAGAGTTTATCTTTCTAAAATTTTTAAAATAGATTCTCTTAAAGTTGAATTTGATGTAATTTTTCTTTAAAATTTTGAGTCTCTAAAAATTTGAAATTTGAGATAGCTTTTTTCTCTAAAAACTTTGAGATAGCCTATCTCACTAAGAATTTTAAGATAGTTTCTTTTTCTAAACCTTGAAATTTGATGTAATATCTCTCTCTGAAAATTTTGAGATAGTTTCTCTATTTAAAATTTTGAATTTGAAATTCACTCTCTAAAATTTCAAATTTCAAATTTTAAGATAGAAACTATTTTAAATATATAAAAGGCATTTTTGTTATAAACAAACTATTTTCTTACTCGGGGATAGATGAAAAATATATGGCATTGGGTTAGTGGTGTGATTTAAAAGTGTCAGGGTGGGCACGACTAGAAAGTATGATGGGGGGTATCTATAATTTTCCATGGGAACTAGAGAACCCAAAAAAAGAGGGGAAAAAAAAAAGTTAATACTGACGTGCATATGTGAGAGATTTCTTGCAAAATTCATTGCCGAACATTGAAAGGCTTGCCATGCCTCTAGAGTGCCAATTTACTTCAGGTGAGCAGTTGATGTGGTCTTCCGGTTGCAAGTAACATATGCAAATCTGCTAAAATCATCTGTGAAGGGGTTTGATCTTTACAGAAAGAATACCCCCAAACAAAGCTTAGATCAAGTTTTGTTCTAGATAATAACGAAAAGTAACTTCACTGGAAGAGGCTAGAGTGTAAGAACTAAGAACCTAGTTACACCAGTGTTCTTCACATCTTTTAGAGGTGGACGAAGGCCACTTGCACGAGAACCTGATGACCCACATCTGAATGAAGACAACGAAGAAACAAATCTTTCAATCGATTTCTCTGCAATTTCAGAGTAATGGTTCAAGTGGGAGAGATTGCACCCTGGACCTCTGACTGGCAAATCCATTCCTCTATGTTTACTTTCAACACCAGGAACTGGTTTACCTAAAGAGAGAGAGTCAACCTTGGATAGTTGAATTTTTCCTTGCTGAAAAACTATAAATTTCAAGCCCATCGAGTGTGGAACATAAAAAAAAAATTCCCAGATACTTCATGAATATATGCATGCAAATCGCCATAATACACTTAGAAAGCTGCTAAAGTGTGTGTACTTTATAAAAATAAAGGGAATGATATAGTATAGTTCAATAGGCTCTGGATAAACTATGGGGTATTTGGGTCAACCATCCATTGACCTGGAGGATGAGAAAGAGACAATTGGACCACTTGGAATAGGACATGACCATAATGGTGGGTTCCCACTCCCTTCCTCATGTCAATCTTTTCAGGGGACAGTGATGAGCCAATGGATTATGGCTTTTCTACTACCAAAATTGAAAGAACAGATAGCCTCATGCGATGACCAATTAACATGCACATTCATAGCATTATGGTACTCTTCAAAATCTACTGATTAACTAAAACACACATAGCATTATGGTAAACTTCGAAATCCACTAATTACCTAAAACACACATAGCATAATGATACACTTAGAAATCCACTAAAAACTACATTCACAATGAATATGCAAAATCCACTAAAAACTACATTCACAGTGAACATGCACACAAAAAGCACAGTTAGGTGCTTAGAATCCTAGTTTTAAAACATGTCGTTTTTCTTAAACTTTAACTCTTTTTTTAAGGAGTTGCAAAAACGGGAGTTCCAGAAAGAACACGGTTGAGGATTGAACCTGAGACTTGAGCAAGTTACTTGGACTCACCCAGGTGAACAAGCATACCAAGAGCGGCATAGCTAAGCGAAATGCCATTTGATGTTTGATGTGAAAAAAATGGGAGGTTACATATTATACAGCTCTTTTTTTCTATATTTTTAAACTTTTAAGCTCGGGCTGGACTTGAGCAAGTTACTTGGACTCACCCGAGTAACTTGCCTCGACCAAGGGCCAAGTACCATGGCCGAGCTGTTTCTCTGTACACTGAAACTGATGCAGAAACAAACTGGAAACTTGAAATGGACAGCAGCATACAAAAAATAGTTAAGGTGAGAAGTGATCAAGAGAAGATGCTGATCACATCTTAAACAAGAATAAAGAGTAAGCTCCTATGAGCTCCCTTATGGGATGGTTTTGTTTGCCTCTTTTATTTTGTGAAAATGCGACAGAAAATCAAGTTAAAGAAACTTGGACACTATCAAAGTACCAATTTGTGACTGTCCAAACAGGAAACAAGTTGTGCAATGCACAAGATTAAACCGAATCATCCATGTAAATTGTTTTCCACACCACCAGTTTAATACAATCAGAAGCATGAATAATAATTTGATACGGCCTGCATTAAAGTGTTTCGCTGTGATAAACAGAGGAAATAATAAAGTATAACTACATTAACTCCCAGGGGATTATTTGCAAGCCCATTAATAAAGATCTGCATGTACCATAGTGCAAGATCAACTCATCACACTAACATGCACAATGATCTTCTAGACAATACAATTTATAGCCTACAATAGAAAAGTCTGTCACCATTCTCTTACCACCGATGGCCGATTAAACTGAACTAAAAACCAAGAAAATCAAACAAGCATCTATTCTACAACCAACAAACTGAAACTATAATTCAAAGGATTAGGATAGAATGATGCAACATACTTGTCATGTTCAGGTTTAAACTCTCAGGGCCATCTTTAACTTCCACGTTTCCCTGTCCAGAAAAAAATAATGCCAGGTGTGGAAACAAAATAACAAGGGCTATCTAACAACAAATACATATCATTTGCATTTGTGAGAATTCAGCACACCGATGCACTCAACATGCATACAGACACAAGAAATCTGTGTCAACATGCATGCCTGGAAATTTTCATTTTTTAAATTCATAAACATGGCATATATGCTAATGTGAGCAAGCGAGTCCACAAATTGGACAAACAAGACAGGCTTGTCCTTTATGTAAGACAAGCGTGTCCATTGTGTAAAAAACACATGGGCGGATGTGAATTATCATTTGGACATGTGTGTCCATTTTGCAAGACATGCATGTCTATTTTGTAAGAAACATGTGGGCAAATACGACTTGTGACTTGGACACACGTCTGGTCCACCATGTTCTATTTTTGCAGTGATTCTTTTTTTTTTTTGGAAAGAAAAAAATGGACATGTAAGCATTGTACGGACATGTCTCTTTTGACATGGAAAAATATAGGTAGGTGAGCCAGATTCTAGTCAGACACATATCTTGTATCTGTATCCTAGTAACATAGATATGGGAACATATCAAAACAGTGTCGGGCAACCTGCATATCCCTTTAAAAGTTTTTAAAATGACAATATTGCCTGGTCTAGTTCTTAAAGCATTGGACACATCCATATACAGGTTACGTCTTTACCCTTACAGATATATTAAACACAGAAAAAAGAGTTGACCAGTAAACTTAAGAAAAAGAGCGCATATACTATGCTCTTGAGAAAGCATAGTGTACATCTACTTCCTCGAAAGAAGACCTATTTGAGAGGATTTTTTCAATCTGAAGTTTTGGGAACCCCTGAACAGTCATTAGATTATTATTCTGAAAAGAAGAAAAATTGAATTTTAAGTTTCCTAATACTTAGATATTACTCTCTAAAAATTGGACCATTCTCTATTCAGTCTTGAGACATAATTTTTTTCAAGTGCATAAAGGGTGTAATCAAGGGGTTGAAGAGGTTAAGTGCCCAAAATTTGGTGTTCTAAAAGTAATCCTAGATGGGCATTATCCAAGAGAGTCAATAGATACCATACTCTGACGGGAGTATAATATCTTTTGGCTAAAAAAAATGAGGGATCAAAGTACAGTCCTGACATTTTACAGAAGAGGTCATAGTTCACAAGTCATAAGTGATGAAGATATAAGGCATACATGTTGAATTTTCTGAGGGATTGAGTTTGGAGCTTCGCAAGTCTCTTCCAGATGTTGATCGCCATAAGAGGTGCTTTTACTTCCATCACAGTCAAATGAAACATCATCCTCAATCTCTCTCTTTATGTTGTGCTTTTTAACTGCAGGGCCTTTCTTGTCTTTAGATAAGTTATGCCGAAAATAAGTACTCCTTACAATGACTTTTCGCTTCACTACTCTTGTTTTCTCTACCAATGTAGGAGGCTCTGCAGATTGAAGGAAAGTCTTAGATACTTCACGAATGAAATGCAGAAACTGGCTATAAGACTTTTGACCCACCGGAATGCTTTCCACTTCATTCTCTATGCTTAAACTTTCTAGATAATACAATCATTCAATGTAAGGAACTATGGAATTTACCACTTGAAATTTAAATAAGGCTTCTTGAATTCAAGTCATACCATTCCTTACGTGATTGGTAATCTGATCTTCAGGCAAGTTGAGACCATCTTCTTTGACACAAAATAATTCCTTATTTAAAAACAAAGAATTCATAAATTGTACTATTACAATGGTAACTGGTCTGTGCAAACTTGTCAAACAAAATCAAGTAAATATGCTAGCCTCAAAATATTTTTACTTTGTTATACACAATTTATAGAATAATAAAAATACTCAACTGGTTCTCTGATGCTGCTCTTAGAGCTTTCTTGGCAGATCATGGATCTTTTACACGAATTTATGGAACAGCCTACAGGCTCTTTAGCCATGCCTACCAAATCCATCACTAGGACCGGACTATCAGGACTAGATTCTTCAGGAGACTCTGATGGCTTAGACTTGACTCGTGGGGCCTTAAAACTTCTCTTCGCTTGAATAGATGCCAAGCCTTCAAGGGTTAAGGAAGATTAAATGAAGACAACAAAACAAACACAACAATTTATAGACTTCAAAAATTATAGATGACCAGAATCATTAAGTCTATAGCATTCAACAGAAAATGTGGAGAGAAAAAGATTCTTTAGAAAGACATGCACCCCAATTTTTCATGTTTTATGTCATGATATGTGTGTCCCCAAGAAGCTAGAAATCAATGAAGGGAGAAGAAGAATGCATCCACCTCCACAGATAGTTTACAGTCAAACAGCTTTATGTGATGTCGCAGTATACATGATATGCTCATTATTTAGTATTGGAATTTGTATGCAACAATATCGACAAAAGAAGTAAATGAATGTTACTAAAGGATAACTTTAACTAAGACTGCACTTGGCAACAGTCTTTTTGCACCATGCTATCAATTGCAGCAGGGCCACAATCTCTACTTTGTGTTGCATACAAATCTATAAAAATGGGAGAAAATTGATTCTTTTATGATGCAAAGAGAACACTGATTCTCTAACAATGAAAATGATGGATTTGTATGTTAACATGCACATCATTAACTAGTCATAAAATACCTTTAACATAGAAAAATAGACTAAAATATATATGTTTTATATATGCCTCAAGAGCCTCCTCAAAACCAAAGGTCAAATGATATGAACAGTTTTTGTTGATCAGGTTATTCAACTTTTCACAAATTAATAAAACTTTAAAATCTCATAGTTGAGCATAGTTCTTAATTTAATCGCTATTACTACGTGAAATTCTGGCCTACAATTTTTTTACTTTTTTCTGAATACTTCATTAATTGCCACTATTTTTCTAACTCATGATTTTTTGGAGTACTTAACCCAAAAAAATTAATTGTTTCCAATCAATGCCCTTTTTATTAATTACTATTCACCCAAAAAAATCCTCTTTATTACCTTCCAACCTGACACAACCTATTCCTAGGCCAGTATTTCTTCAACTTTAATCTTGTGTATGCGAGATGTGGACCAACAGTCCACTTTAATTCTTTTTTTGGAAGTTAATAGGAAATTTATTGAGTGAAATTGGGATTTAAAAACAAAGAATGGAACCGAAATTTATCACCTGGTGGACAGATTAGGGTCGGTGGACAGATTAGCATCTGCCGGCTCAAGCTACATGGTTGTATCTCCAGTCCACAAATAGAACATGTGTCCAAGGGTTCAAAAAAGGCTAGGCTGCCCCTAGGCAGCCGGCTTGGCACCCAGCGCCCAAAACCTTAGGCGCCCTGTTGTACAAGTTATGTACATATTTAGTATATGTATATGTGTATATATATATATATATATATATATATATTTGTGTCAATGTTAGAATTTATTACATTTGAAAATATTGTAACATATTTTTTATGCACAAAAATATGACATGTCGCATGTTGAGAATAAATTTGTTCAAAATTTCAAAATTCAAACCATATAAATTTAAAAATCTAATAGGATATGTATTAGTAATAGTCTCCTGCTCTCCATACTTCATAATAAGTGAAAAGGTTTAGGAAGGTTCTTCAAACTACAAAAAATACTTTTGACTCTCAGAAACAGGTATAGCTAAGAGATTGAGGGTTGATGGAATTTTTTTTTTAACTTTGGGGGATGAAAATAACCCCCATAACCTATTTAAACTTCAAAATTACCCTATTTTTGCTTTTGGGTATTAAAAAAAAAAAAGTCGCATAGCTCCTAGCCAGGTACATCCACCCATCTAGGGCCACCTGGATCTGGGCGTCTGATATTTTGGTCCAGACCGCCTAGGCGGGTGCCTAGACACTGGACCATTTTTTAAAACATTGCGTGTGTCTGCCCAGTAAATTTTGAATTTGAAATTTGAAACATCAAACCTGAAATTTCTAAAGACATGCATTTTACATAATTTCTGCGCCATTCTGTCACGTCTTGGTGATCCACATCTTCGACCTTTTGTCACATGCTTTAGGCACCTTATCAAGGTCCAGCTCAGATCGTCTCCCCAGCTATCATATTTCTTTGTCATTGATGCTCTTGTCCCTTTGACATTTTCCTTCAATTTCTGCTCTTGCAATTATGGGTCGCAAGTTTCTAACCTCTATCCATTCTTTCCATGTTTTCATGTTAGAATGAGAGGTGTGTTTGTGGACATTTTGCGGTCTTTCTACTTCGTTTTGGACCACTGGTATAGAGGCTTATTGCCTCCTCTGTTCCTCCCAAACCTTCTACTAATTGTCTGACACTAATTTTACTGGGGTGGGTATTTTCATTTCCTTCTTCGTTTCAACCAGAAGCCTAACCACTTCCATGGGCTTGCCTGCTGTCATAATCAATCCATACCACCTTCCTGTAGAACTTTGCCACCTTGCAAAAAACCTCATATGTTCATGCATGAAAGGGGGCTACACTGACATTAACACAAACTTTAACTAGGGGGATAAAAAGCGACACTTTGTTTGGGATTCCCTCTAGAAATGGAGAGCAAAAAACCCCTAAATCTTTACCAGCTCCATTCTAGAACTCAGATAACTTCCTTAATCGAGTTCAACATGAATGAAACCCATTGGGGATCATTTTACAGATGACTGGACCAGCAGGTCCCCAAACACTTGATTCTCATCATTCCAATCCCGCTGTCTGTGATTTCAGGGCAGAGCTACCGAGGAAGCTTTCAGCAAGTCTGTCCTCTCTCAAGTGGTTTCCTGGCTGACATTTGATGGTAATTCTCTCCATTGAACTCAGAGAAACAACTCTCACTTTGCATGGCTTATAGTAGGAGCTTGGGGTGAAGTATCTTGAAACATCCCTTCATTGCTTAAAGGGTAAGGTTTTGCTACATGGCAGTGATCTATATTCCTTTCCTCATGTTTTAACGTTCCACCCCTCTTTCTGATTTCCTCCTCATCGTATACCCTTGCAATAACCACATCTCATGGCCATATCCATGCCTGTAGGGATAGAGGAGCCATGGATGACTTACACAGAAGTGGTTCAAATCACCTTCAGGGCTTTTTGTTGTTATGTAGCACTCTTTCCTTTGTTGTTATCCCCCACATATCCCATGCATTTCTTCATGCACTAACACTATCCAATTAAATTATGTATCTTTCTTCTGAATTGAGATTAAACTACTTTAAATCTTGAGGAAAAAAAAGGAAAATGCTCTAGAATATAATTAGAGCTAAATAACACATAAAACTCCATCCCATTTGAAGTAACATTAGGGAATAATAGCTGCAGCCCCAGTTATCAATATCATCTAGGAATCATCAAAATTTTAGGAAATAAATTAATCAATTCTGAACAGAAAAATGGGAAAATATTTCATGGAATCAGACAGTAATCTGGCTAACTCAAAGCACCAATGGCATCTGAATCATTATATAAGAGGGAAACTTACCTACATGAAAGTATATGGAATGATGAAGAAAGCATAGGAAATGTTCGCACTAGACAACCAAGTCATAGGGAATAGCCATCTCAGACACTTAGGATTTTGATCAGACATGAACAGAAACCAACTAATAGCAAACATAACACTTCAAATTCTCTACATAATAAAAATTTATTGCTAAAGGATACAAAAGTAATTAGTCAGGACATTTTTCTGTGCAGGCAAATCCAGCTTTTTCTTTTGAATTTGTGGTTGAAATTCTTTGACTTTGTAAGATCTATCAGGCACATCTTGGGGATGAATTACAGCATTCTGTTTGCCAGAGAAGCATTAGAGCATCTAATTGACACAAGAAAAATCCATGTATGGCATATCCACTTAAATTGTTCAACAAAATTTTAAAATTTTCAACCAAAATTTCATTTGGAAATTAAAAGATCTTGGGAAGAACATAACGAATTATGCAAAGATAGTCTAATTTCAAGAAATTGAATGTTGTCAAATGAATTGAAACATCACCTAGTACTACACAAATAACAGAAACCATTTTAAGTGTGGCAGCGCAGTCAGTTTCAAATGACAAAAGAACAAATAAATGAATGAAATTTCTCCCAATTTATGGCTTTAATAAAGACAACAAGTCAACTCAAAATACTTAAAAGACTTTCAACGTTCGTAAGAGACACAAAAAGTTATAGCAAAAAGCAGATTCTTTAGACTGAAGTATGAATCTTTTGCTTTGAAATTCAATGGTCCTGTGTCAAGCATAGCATACCTGAAAAGGCAATTTAGTGATTGGATCGAGTACGCCTTCTGCTATGCCTTTGGCTACAGATTGAGACATAGGTGTTTGTATGGTTAAGTTAACAAGCAGAAGATGAATTATCAAATCTGGAAAAAAAAAGGAAATTTCCAGTGTTCTTAATATTAAGAACATAACTAAAAAATAAACACACAGAGCGCTCAAGGATATGGGCCCAAAAATTCCAGATCAATGCCAAAGTCACAACGTAATTCCACCAAATGCACAATATTTTCCTGAACAGGATCATAGACCCATTGATGCTGAAATGTCCAAATAGCTTTCTTGAATGTTTCTTCATATAAAGGTGGTATTGAAACACCATTATACCTCAGGTGCTTTATCACCTGAAAATAATTCAACCATCAATCGAATATAGAACAAGGTTTATCTCAAACTTCCTGCTCTATATTAAGTGTGTTGAATTTTCTGATGAAACCAAGTATCCCAAAGTCAGTTAACAATGACTTGGAATTCACCTCAAATTTGTCCCATTACTAATTCTTTTTCAGTTTCAAATTGTAACTAATAAGACTAGAGAGAGAAAACATAATTATTAGCTCATCATCTAGGCTTTATACATCTTCCAATGGGTTAATTTTGTTCCATAGCCCATCTTTCTACCAGTTTGTGCCTGACCAATTATGACAGAATGGGATCTTCAATGTTTGACAAAAATCAACGACTGAATCAAGTATGACCATCATTATAAATTCAGTTAGAGAACACAGTATGCTCAAAAAACAAAAAAGAATTAGTCTTTGTCAAAGAAGAACATAAAAATAGGTGAAAAAGCAACCATGTTTACCTTCTCATGGCTTTTAAATTTCTGAATTAGGGAATATGCCCTTTTTATCCCCATACCCTGCAGTGACTGAAGATAATCACAGCCACTTAATATACACATCTCAAGAAGCATTTGCCTTGTGAATGCAGTGAAATTAAGCTCCTTGTTCTTTGCCAGACTAGAATATAAGAACTCCACACCTTGTCCAAATTTGTCCATCTTAAAAATTATCTGCACACATGGATATAGGTATCATGTCAGGCAACCCTACTTCCTAGTGATCATGAACAGGTATGCAAGACAAAATGACGAGAATGGAATATTTGATTACTCTGGAACAACCAAATGGTATTAGGTCAGAGTCTTCAGTAATAACTGCCTCAACATGCTTATTCATGGAGAGGAAGGTCATTTGTGCATCGGCTTCATAAGGAGCCACAATGTATGCAACATTCTCCTGTTTTAGAACCTAGAAAAGAGCTGGTTTCAATAACACATTATACCGCTAACCTTATCGGAACTAAGATTGAACACTAAATCAGATGGAAGGGATAATTACCGATGGCATGAAGCATATATTTTTGGGTAAAGGAAAAGGAAAAATTCACAAGCTCCACATACCTCAATGAGTTCTAAAGCAATTGAGGGGGATATGTCAACAGCTTTTTGATAGCATTCGTAAGCTGCTGTTGAATTGCCTGATGTCTCATGATGAATTGCACGCTCCAGATTTTCCTTCCTTGCCCTGTACATACAAGTACATTAATTTTAAACCAAAAAGACAGCAAAAAATAGATTAATGCACTGGGTACTAAGATTCAGTGTTATAGTCCGTATCCATACACGAAGCAGGCAATAGAGTAGTGCTCGTATCCCATCTTCAATGAGAGTGGACTGGAGCAAGGTTTGTTTCTCATACTCCCCTCGCAGTATGCAAATGTGATTAATATTACTCCCACATGTGGATTTTTCTCTTGGGCCTCTTTGCACTTTTGGGTCACTCGTGTTCCCTAGAAGTTCTTTGGAAACTTCGTTTCCCAGCCATGCTGTGGGCTTGTGGGGTATCTTGGAGTAAAACAATTGTATCTTTTCGAGAGACCAGGCCATAATAATGTTAAGCAGCACATGTAGAACACTAAAAGGACAAAGGCTTTTGAGCATTTCAGATTTCATCAGGGAGTGGAGCACAATGGTGAGAGTTAAATCTAGAAGTTAGTTGCTCTAGCTCATCGGAACCTCCTCCACCTGGTCCCACAAAGCTTACTTCAATGGTACTTCCTTGTTTAGTTTTGAGGGCTGGAAGTGTCTCTAGCTTAATAGATTTTTTGTGAGCTCCATCTTTGAGCCCTGCAACCAGAGAGATCCTCATATAACTTAAATAACAGAACCCTTTGACAGACAAAGCTTTTAGAAGGGATCATTCACCTCAGTTACTCCATCAGGATTTCACTTTGTCATTTTCTGGGAGAGGAAAGAGGGACAGCTTATTATTCAGCCACAAAGGGACTATCTATTAGTAGTCTACTCCTTTTTGTAATGACAAGCAAAAACCGAATACATAACCATGTCAATTACTTCCAGTTAGGTGTAATGCACTAATTACAGATTATTAGTTATATCCATTGAAAAACAGGGAGTAGATTTGTTTAGCGAGACCCTAAGAAGATATCGACATAAATGCATGTTGAAAAAACTGTCACTCGCTTAAAGATATTCTCCTCTACGTTTATGGTTTAGGGTGAGTTGGGTGCAAGTTTATTTGTGTCCCTGTGTATTATTGTTAACATATACTGCTTTTGTAAGGCAACTTAGCCAATTTTTATACATGTGCAACCTCAGATAGAATGGCTTTTCATTATAATCAACTTTCACAAACTCAAGATCCAAACTTAATACTATCTATCACAATCCAAGGTGTAAAACTAGGCATGACATGATCACAAGGTGACAAAGAATAACAATTCACTAACTATCTATTCCCAATTGAGAGGTAAATACCCAAGTTGAGACCTAGTCTAGCCAAGAGAGTGAAAATTTGATATTTAAGCTTCACAGATTGGAGCATATTTACAGTACCTTAGGCGCTTAGCCTCTTGGTCACTCTTCATGGGCAGAAGACCTCCATCAAACACAAGAACAGGTTTGACACCATAATGCCTTAGTAGATTTACTCTGTGCATGCAATAATCAATATGCCTGGAAATTCCAACATAAACAAAAAAGTTAAAGTATAAACTCACAAATTAGAAAGGCAATGTTGCCAACTTGGAAACTGAAAACTGGAATAGAGAATGAATCCACATTCCAAAAAGAAATAGAGGATGAAGTCATTCTCTACAAAATAGCAACCATTAGAAACTAGGAAAAGGCACAGATCATTTCCCTGAGGCTAAATGAGAAGCCAATGTTTAGGTAAAAAATCCACTTCTCGAGTTATTATCTCATTTTGCCATTCTTGAAGCAACATTTAGGTCCAAAAACATGTGCGCCTAAGCAAATATCATAAGAAAACATCAAGCCTTTGAAGAGATAAAAACGGTCCGTTTTTTCTACTAGTGATATATTCCCCATCAGAAAATCAAAAAATGAGAAAGTTTGTCTCTTATCCCAAATAAGCACACAGCGCTTTTATAGCATACAATTATTTTGATAATGATAAAGAAATTACGTGAAAATTCAAAATAATGAAGAAAATACGCAAAATTTCACTGTAATGTCTCTCTTCTTGGCTAGTAGCAATAGTAAGGCAGGTGGCCAATGATCCATCTAACTAGAAATGGAATAAAAAATAAAACAAGAAGAACAGAGGAACTGTAACTTGTATATAGATTTAGAACATTTGGACCAGAAAACCCTAGTACCCGACTTAAAATGAAAAAAATTGGGTACAAAAGAGAAACATAAAATAGGAGAAAAACCACCCCAATGTTTTTTTTAAAAAAATATTTGACACAAAGAAGCCCAGAAAACCCAAGCCCCCAACTTGACAATAATAATAGTAATAATCATAATGATGACGATGATGAGGAGGAGCATGATGATAACAATGATATGAAATACCCCAAGTAAAAATAGTAATAATAAAATGAAAGAACCCAGAAAATCCAAGTCCCCAACTTTGTGAGGGGAAAAAAACTAACCCAGAAAAATCCCAATCCCTAACGATGAAAGGCAAAAAACCATGTATGAATATCAATATTAGTGAGAATGTAATCGCCAACCCAAGCCGCCAACTTCACAAAAAAAAAAAAAACCAGAAATTATGTGTCAGGAACAATGCAAAGGGAATCAATGAAACCAATCTACCGAAACTAAGATGCAGAAATTATATCATCAATTCAAAGGATCAACGATTCAATCACAACCAAATTGACCAACAATTTGCATTGCAATGATAATAAATAAATAACTGAGCTTCAGTCTCACTTGGTGGTCCACTCGTCCTTGCAGAGCTCCTTGCTGCAACAAAGAGCCCCTTTATGGAGCCATGAATAGGTATCCACTGCAACATTCTTGTCCTTGAGCTCCTTAATGTGAATGGGGTTCATGATTGATTTTAACAGAGGGAGAAGGCCGTGAATCCCCATATTCTTGAACCACTACTTTTCCTCTTCTTCTTCTTACAGTCAAAAGATAAGCTCGCATTATGATGATGAGGAGGAGATGCAGATGATTAACCCCATTGAACGATGGCCAGGTCGTACGCAAAAAAGATCGGATTATTTTGGGTTTAGCTCGAGATGAAGATCAGATGAAAGAGCAAATTAAAGGGAACAGAGAGAGAGCGATGATTCTTTGGAGAGTAAACCAGATTAAAGAGAAAATGGACGGTAGAGAGAGAAAATCGCCTGGTTTCCCACTTTACTTCTAGAGAGAGATAATTGTAGTAGAAAGAAAGAGAAGGAAAGAGGTCTGGCCCCCTCTCCCCTTTATTTTAGAGAGAGAGAATGCTGGTCTGGTCTCCCCTTTATTTTAGAGAGAGAGAGAGATCTGTTGTGGTCTGGCCTTCATTTCGGTTTGTAGAGAGAAAGGCGGGAAACGCGGGAGGACGGACAAATAGGGCGGGAAAAGAAAGGTTTAAGAAACGGCTGGAACGGGCAGGAACCGTTTCTGTATCATGGCCTTAACGGACGTTATAAACAGAAAATAGCGCTTTATCTACTACGTACATCGGATAAAAATGAGAAGGGGAAAATAAAGGATTCACGATGAAGAACTCATTTAATTTTTTTTGTACATAAAGTTACAATCATTTACATTAGGTGGCAAATTAAGTAGCTTGAGATAAGTCACCAAGTTCAAAAAAAGTATTTTTTGGAGCTTTACATTTACAATCTTACAACCACCCATTTCGAAATTTTAAAGACAAAAATAATTGTGAGATCCATGTAACAAAAAATAAATTATCTCTTTATAAATAATCCCAAAAACTAAAGAGAACAAATATAAAATAGAGAGAAAATGGAGTATGAAATAAAGTAATATTTCAATAAATGACTGTTTCGCATTAGGGGATCTTCCTTTACAATGTTTTTGACTGTGTTATAACGGACACTAGTTTCATTTCTCGGAAATATTTTATCCTACATATTTAAAACTTGTTATAACCGGCGTTAAATCTGAGAAAGTTTATACTGATATTCCCTTAAATTATCATTGTTTAAGAAGCTACACGATATATTTCTCCCCTCAGGTAAAACCCCGCCTAGGATGAATTTTAGGTCCTCAAATATTGGGATGCGATCTCTTCAACTCATAAATTAACCTGAATATAAAAAAATGTCCTAACTGTAACCTATGAAAAAATAGAGATTGAATAGGGACTGCTCAATGTTTAGATGGTGGATCTACAAGTTAGAAAACTCAAATTTCAAATTACTTTATGGTGGATCTAAGTTAGAAAACTCAAATTTCAAATTACTTTTTTAGAACTGCATCTAGTAATTCTTAAGTGGTTATCGAAATTTCATATTAAAAAAATCATTGGAAGCAGTAATTTAAGAAAGGGTGTAGTTTATATAGAGCCGAGACTCTAAACAATCAAAATAAAACGCACCTTCAAATAGTGTAGAGAAATGTGGTCTCATATCCATGCATCTTAATATCGAGATGATCAATTTGATGATATTTGGGCACCAAAACAACCTCTTCTAAAGAAATTTTTGCGAGGGGTTCTAATTTAATTGTTTAGAGCCTCGGCTCTATATAAACTTTTTTCTTTTAAGAAATCCTTCCAAAATAAATTGATTTTTTATTGATACCCATTTTCAATTTTTTTTATCCAAAATTGCTCTTATTTCTAACCTTGAAGTTTTGGACCTTCAAGGTTCATGAAAGCCAATTTTCAACCTTGATGTTTGAAACAACTTTGGGTATTTAAGATCTAAAATAAGGGAAATATTAAAAATAAATTTTTTAAAAATTGGATATAAACATAAAAAAAATAATAAAATAGGACTCTTAAAAAACAATAATTTAGAGGGATAATGGCGTAAACTTCTCTCAAAATATTATAAATAAATACATAAGTAAAACAGGAATAACATACTCTTGTAAGGTCACAAATAATGTTGATTTTAGTATGTAAGGTCAACGATCCGTAGCCATGATGTGAGGGTGATAGATAAAGATACGTCAGAAAGTTGGAGAATAGGGGCTTGTTGGCATGGTAATCAACTTTATTTAAAATAAACTATTTTACCTAACATTAAGTATTATAGATAATATTATTGGTAAAAAAAATCATGGATAATGTTATTTTTCTAGATGTTTAGTATGTATCTTGTATTATGCATAATATTGTTTAATTATTTAATTGTTTGGTAAATTTCAGATACTTTTAGCTCTCTCTAGCTAAAAATATGAGATTTCAACACACTTCTTTCCCATAGCATGTCGGATGTTTTACAGCAGTTGATGTATTCAGGAATCTAAAAAATAGAGGTTGTGCTTTGGAGATCTTTGTGGACAAGTATCATGTGAAATTTGAAGGCGATAGTGTTGATATGAAAACCTTGTTGTCTAATATTCTTGCAATGGCTACTGAATGGTTTTGGACACATAAAGGTTGTAGTTTTGTGCCCAAACACCATGTCATTGAAAACCCTTTTGAGGTTTTCTCTCTCTAGACAATTAAAATAAGTCGACATGTAATTTAGGTTCCACCCCAAATAGATTGTCTAAACAAAATTTAATTTTGATGGAAGTTCTTATGGGAACCCTGGACCAGCGGGGTGACTTATATAAGGGATTACAAGGGTAATATAATAATTTCCTTTTATAGACCTCCGTGTGACAGCTGTAAATGAAGCTGGGGCTAGAGGCTATTAGAAGGCCTTGAGATTGCTATCAGGAATGGATGGACACAATTGTGAAGGGAGATTCAAGTAATGTTATTGCTTGGGCCAAAGGGGAATTTAAGCTTGCTTAGACATTGAGTTTTATTTTTGAAGAAATTTTTCATTTTTTATATTCCGGTTCTTTTCAACTTGTTGATTGTTTTAGAGAGGCTAATGCTGAGGCAGATACTCTAGGGTGGTGTAAACCAACAATCGTTGGTGGTCACATCCTTCATCTAATTGTACCTCTCCTCTATTCTCTTTTCGAGTTTAATAAAGTCAATAGCTAACATCAAAAAAATAAAAATAAAAATTTATGTTCACATAAAACTACCTATAAGTTTATCTCAGATACCTTATGGTGGACACTGTCAAACAACATATACTCAAGTATCATGAATAATTTCATTACAACATTGAATTATCACTGATAAGGTGTACGTCCAAACATGCTCAACATTTTTTGAAATATAACAATTTAACCGGGCATCGTTAACCATCTCATTTAACACCAACATTTGTGATCATGACTTTCTTCTACCAAAAATTAGAACATGATATTGAGATAGAGTGCCATTTTTTAGCTTTAAGGCACCAATTTCGCATTGCGACTGGCACCATTATAATATCATTGCCAAGGTCCCTGTATAATGGCCATTGCAATACATTTTCAAGGAACCATGAGAATAACCTTGACTTTCGGAAAATTTACAGGAAGCTCATTCAACAAATGAGCGGCATCCCCTACCAATGTGCACTTACAATAAAACAAAGGCGGCGAGACAATAGAGTGCCCATGAGATAATCATGAACAAGAATATTTTATTGGGAAATTTATCAAAATACATATAAGAGATCAACTATGTAACAATTTACCTTTAACTCTTGATTGAATTTCAAAATACCCATCAAAATACACATTAACAGGATTTGAAACAGCTCGAAAAGGGCAAATCGTTAAATTGTTGAAAAGTTCTATGTATTTTGATAACTTTCCCTATTTTATTAGCTGATGGGCTTATGCTACACTAAATGCATACCAAAATATGGAATAAGCTGATAAGCTAATACACTAAATATCTTAAAAGCACCCTAGTTCCTTCCTTCCTATGTATACATAACAGCAAATGTTTCCCACACACTCCATAAGCAACACAACAATATATAAACCATAAAACCGGTTAACAAGTTTCTGGGGTTCAGCTTCTCAATTTAAAGGACACTGCAAAAGGCCTAAGCACAATGGGGATGATTCAATTGCTATAACTATAGAAGATGCAAGTCTAGATTCCCCATGGCAATAAAGCAGCATATTTAGTCACAGAAGGGCAAAAACCATGGTTTCATTGAAAGATCAACAGTTGTCTTTGGTGGGAGGTGTTGTGTATCGCCAAATCCCAGCCAAAATGCTGCCATAGATGGAATGACACACACTAGAGACAGCACATGGAACTGCAGTCAAGGGATTGCTGAAATGCTGACCAGCAAGCACCACACCAAGCACTGAATTCTGTAACATACACCCAAAAGAATATGATCCTTTAAGAAACCCCTGATGAGAAGCTAAGCAGCCACAAAAATGTCATTATTTTACAGACAAAGAAGGCCATTATGCACCAGTTTACTTACAAAGCAAGGATTTTTCTCTAAGATTAAGAAGATATGGTAATTGACGGGTCTCATCTGTGCTAAACTTTTAGTCTTCTAATAAAATTGTAAATTCATTAAAAATGGCAGGTCCTAATGATGACAGAAGACCAAAATCGTGAATTAATGCATGCTCTACAGTTAGAGATCATAATCAATTCTTTAAGTCCATGAAAATCCAAATATTATAGCGCAACTCGCAGTCTCTCTCTCTCTCTCTCTCTCTCTCTCTCTCTCTCTCTCACACACACACACACACACACACACACACAGAGGCATGTGCGCATGCGCACAAACACACACACAAACCTGTGTCACCCAAACACTGGAATGGGTATCAGTTTCAGACATGTTTCTATGTTGTCTGACACGACAAGCTCAAATTCAGATATGGGAACAAACATCTGTACATTTATTTAAAAAGAAAAAAAGCTAGAAATTCATATAATACATTGAAAATTGTGAAGAGCATGGATTTGATTTAAGATATTCAAATTGTGGAAAGGATGGGATTTGATCCTAGGACATGATGTGCCCTTTGCACAACATTAACCACTTAAGCCAGTGCCGACACACACACACAGCACACAAAAGAAAATAGAAATAAAAATGGAGGTACTTTTGCAGCTCATGCAGAAGCAAATCATCCAGTAACCAAAAATTTTAAAACACAAAGAAACTCACCTGCATGCCGACCTCTATTGAAATAGTGCGAGAAGAGGAGACATCAAGGCCAAGAATTCTTGAAAGCGCATAACCAAAGAAGAAGCCAGAGCCATGAAGAGCGCAGGCAGCGAGCACCACTTGTTGCCCAGACATAAGGATAGCAGAGGCATTCTGTGCAATTGCACTTCCACATAGTAGGGCCACAGTTAACACAGAAGTGAGTGGCATGAATGGGGAAACGAACTTCACCACTCCATGGCAGTACTGGTTCATGAGGGCACCAACCAACACAGGTGCAAGTACTACCTAAACAAATTGATCATTTAAAAGTCATGAGTATGATACCAGTATGATTATGATGCTGGTACGAACTCCTTCGCCCCACCCACCCACCCACCCACCCACCCACAAAAAAACACACACAAATGCGACACATATATATTGATGAAGTGCATTTCGAACAAACCATCCAATAAAGGGACTGGATGATGACGTACGGAGAGTAGATCATATAATTATTCATAACATATATGGTGGAACCTCGAATAAAGGGACTGGATGATGACGTACGGAGAGTAGATCATATAATTATTCATAACATATTTGGTGGAACCTAGTCTCCCTCCATTACTGCCCAAGCCCTGGAAAGGATAGTGATGACCCTTTTACCATTATCATGGCCATATAAATCAAAATATACTTTCATTCTTTATACATAAACAAATACTTCCAACTCTATATATACTACTTAAGGAACATCCATTACACGTAGGAAAAAACTGCTAAATGAAAAAGAAATAGAAAGAAAAAATATGCACATAAAATCTTGCTAATGCCAATATTCAAGATATTAACCCCTGAAGGCATATGATTCATATCCCACTGTTCTACTTTACAAATAAAGAGATAAAATAACTTGTCATAAGTAATCAAATTACTCCATGTATCAAAAAGCAAAAACAGTGAAAGAAAAATAGAGTATCAGATAATGAAAAATAAAATATATGAGAAAGAGTTTACAGAAAATAGAAAGTACACCTCTTAGCCAACTTCCAGAAAGAAAAAGAACTTGATTTACCAACCACCTAATAACAAATTAATCTAGACAGAAAATAAAAATAGTATAAGTTGTTAACATAAAAATTGCGCAAAAAAAAAGAGAAAGAAAGAATACATGGATACACGCTATCATCCAAGCCTTTAGTTCGCTTAGGCAAAGCTCATACCTCACAACTATATATGGTTTCGAACACCTAATTAACTTGATAATAAAAGAGAAAAACTTAAGCATACATGCCATTATCCTCGTATCAGATAATAAAAAATAAAATATATGAGAAAGAGTTTACAGAAAATAGAGAGTACACCTCTCAGCCAACTTCCAAAAAGAAAAAGGACTTGATTTACCAACCACCTAATAACAAATTAATCCAGACAGAAAACAAAAATAGTATAAGTTGTTAACATAAAAATTGCGCAAAAAAAAAGAAAGAAAGAATACATGGATACACGCTATCATCCAAGCTTTTAGTTCGCTAAGGCATACCTCATACCTCACAACTATATATGGTTTCGAACACCTAATTAACTTGATAATAAAAGTTGCAACAAAATTCCGAAAAACTTAAGCATACATGCCATTATCCTTGAATTCTCCAAAGCATACCTCGACGTCCACTTTAATCTACATTAAATAACAAGGACTTCAATATATAAGTCAAAGAGTGAAGGAACTCCATATGCTATCAAACAAGTATCTTCGACTAAAAAGAATTTAATAATATATGTACAACTCAAATAAAAGAGAGACATATGCAAAGAAATCAAAATAAAAAGTATAAAAGCATACCTCGTAGCCTATTCTATTCTGCTTCAAAACACGCACACACACACATACAAAAAAAGAAGAAGAAGGAAAAACTGCATGTTCAAACCTCCAACCACACACTACATAAATAAAATGTCAATTTAGGTATTAAAGAAAAACAGCAAAATATGAGAAAATAAGAACTAGACAATAAAAAATCACATAGAAGTTGTAATAAAAATATGTCAAAATGAATAATGAAAGAGCATAAAGCTAGCAAAGTCTTGTAGCACTTCAATCTACATTATATATATATATATATATATATATAAAGTAACAGCTGCACTTTTCTTTTTTCTGAATGTTTAACTCCAGACCTAGTAAGAGTGGCACTCAAGACATTAAGTTGTGGCACCTGCCACCTTGACCACCTCTGCCTTTAGCCCACCCTCAAAACAGCTGAAATTTATTACATAACAATGGACAATGGTAATTCTCCCATGGAAAAATAAAATTGAATAATTTCATATAAATCACAATAGAAAAGAAACATAATACCCAAAGCAAACCTTTTGAAGAACTTAGTTCGAAAAAAAGTCAAATTGAAGAATATACATTAAGAGAGAGAGAGAGAGAGAGAGAGAGAGAGAAGAGAGAGAGAGAGAGAGAGAGAGAGAGAGAGAGAGAGAGAGAGAGAGAGAGAGAGAGAGAG